AGGTACAGGAGGAGATTGTCCCTCCTTCTCCAGCAGAGCATCTGGTGGATTCAAACTGCATACCTCTGGGATTGCAGTGCAGCTTCTTGCCACTAGGCCACAAGAGCTCCCTAATTGGCTTGTTTTCTTAGAAAAATTAAAGTTCTCACAATTTTATTATTAAGTTTGATGCTTTCTGTTTTCTATTTTTCAGATTGTTGTTGTTGCCATCGAGTTGTTTGTGACTCATAGCAACCCTATGTACAAGAGCCCTAAAAGCAGACACTAATAATCATATTAAAGAAATTTCCTTATAGACTATCTTCTGAGATATTTACACTCAACGTCCACATTTGTCCACACTTGAACAGGTCAGATTGACAGTGATTATCTCTTTATGCTAGTGGCCATCTCTGACTGGCTGCACCTATCTCATTCACTGGCAAAGATATTACCTCCAGACAGACATATTGGCCTAGTTTTCTCTGAAACCAGAAGAAACTCTATCCCACAATGGGTGCCCCACTCTCTGACACTCAACAGACCCAAGACCAGAGGAGGTGCTACCTGCGACCTGGCTCATAGCTCAGGGCCTCAGTGACTACTCACACAAACATAAACTCTGACCTGACTGGACTCCCCGCCACCTCCCGGCCCCCCAACTCCAATCTTCTGCTGGGTTGGCAGATACATTTCTCAGGACAGTCAGTTTGATTTCTAGTTCCTATAGCATGCATGTTTACTTTGTATTTGTTTACTTGCTTGTTTCATAAGTTGCTCTTAGGAGTACACAACATTTTGTTGGATCACCTTTCTTAGGAATGGGAATGAATTTGGATGTCTTCCAATTAGCCAGTCAGGCAGTCCTCCAAATTTCCTGGCATAAACTATGTCAAGGGCTGCATCTGTTAGTTGAAACATTTCAATTTGTATCACATCGATTTCTGGGGCATAAATATTTTGCCAGTGCCTTCAGTGCAACTTGAATATCATTCTTCATCACCATTAGCTCTTAATCATATGGAACTTCCTGAAATATTTATGTTGGCCAATTTTGTTTTTTGTTCGGTGATTTTGTGTATTTTCACCATCTTCTTTTGATGATTCCTGAGTCATTAAAGATTTTGCCCAAAGCATCTCTCAATATTGCAACTTGAGACTTGAACTTCCCCCCTGCTCCCCGGCCCTCAGTTTCTAAGCTTGAGAAATGCTAAGCCAGTTGTCCACTTTTATTCTCCAATTCCAAGTCTCTGCAGATCCTGTTATAGTATTTTGCTTTGCCTTCTCAAGCTGCCCTTTGAAATCTTCTGTTTAGCTCTTTAAATTCAGTATTTCCTTTGTTTTGGCTTCTTGACACACTGGTGCAATTTTCAGGGTCTCCTCTGACATTGGTTTTTTTCTTTTCATTACTCTTTGTAAAGACCTTTTGTTCTCTTCATGGATGATATTTTTTTATGTCATCCCACAACTAATCTGGTCTTAGATTATTGGTTTTCAGTGCTTCAAACATATTTTAATATTATTTTTAAATTCAGATGGAATAAATCAAGATCATATTTTTTCTTATGGATTTATTTTCATTTTCTTTAGCCTCAATTTGAATTTGCACATGAGTAATTGATGATCTTGAGTAGTATTTTGCTTGTATGTGATATTAATTATATTGTTTGATAGTTTCCACACTCAGATCACCTTTCTTGGAAATAGGAACAAATATGGACTATTCCAATTTGTTGGCCAGCTGTCCTTGACATTTTCTGGCAGAGACTGGTGAATGCCTCTAATGTTTCTCCTGATAATTGAAACAAGTCAGTTGATACCCATCAATTCTTGGGGCCTTATTTTTTTTACCAATGCTTTCAATGCAGCTTCTACACCTTCCTTTGTTATCATTGACTTCTGTTCATATGGTACTTTCTGAAAGTTTTCAGTGTCTGATTCAGGACATGGTCTTTTCAATTTCTTGATATGCATCTGAGAGCTGAACAGTGAATAATAATGACAGAAAAAGAATTAACACCTTTGACCTGTGGTTTTGGAGAAAAGAATTGACTATCCCATGGATGGCCAAGAGAACAAAAAGATATGTCTTGGAGAGTGCAACCAGAGTGCTCTTTGGAGGCAAGAATGATGCAGCTTAGCCTCACATAATTTGGGCATGTTGCTAGGAAGGGCTTATTCCTTGGAGAAAGACATGATGCTGGGAATGGTGGAAAGTAAGTGAAGGAGAGGAAGACCCTCAACCAGGTGGCTTGACAGTAACTGCTGCAATGCGCTTTTGTGTGTCAGGCAATGTGAAGCTGAAACAGGACAGAACAGGTTTTAGATCTTTTGTTCTTAGGGTTGCTATGAGTTGTACTTAACTAGATGGCACCAAAAAATAACAACTGGGATGTGATGGTATCTCATTGTGGTTTTTTATTTTCATCTCTCTTATTGCCAGTGATTTTGAGCATTTCTTCATTTGTCTATTGACTATTTGAATAGTTTTTGATCCTGTGCAACAAACATTTCACGCCCTACTCACGGTCAGCAAGCAAGATTGTATCAACTGCATAAGTTATTTGAGTCTTTTTCTGATCCACATGCCACACTTTTCTTCATATAGTTCAACTTCTCAAATGATTTATTCTGCATAAAGATTGAATAGATATCGAGAAAGTATACAACTCTGACACACACCTTTCCTGATTTTAAATCAGTGTTTTCCCTTGATCTGTTCATACCCTAGATTCCTGGTCTACATATAACTTTTTGTCTGAGCACAACCAAGTGTTCTAGGAATCCCATTCTTCTCAATTTCAGTCATAATTTGTTATTATCCACAGTCAAAAATTCCTTCGCATAGTCAATAAAACAGAAACAGGCATCCTTCTGGTATTCTTTGCTTTCAGCCAAGATCCATATGACATCAGCAAAGATATCCCTTTGCTATTACTTCTTCTAAGTCCAGCCTGAATTTCTGGCAACTCTCTATCCATGCACTTTAATGATCTTCGGGGTACTGGCTTCTGCTTTACCTGATTGACAACAACCTACAGCCAACACCAGTCCAGGATGCACTCAGCATACACGAACAGTTGTGAGAAAATTCCATATAAACCTCCAAGTGAAATTTCAAAAGGAGGTAACACATTGGAAGGATAAAAGGCTGAATTCAATTAGTAGAACATAAAATTAGAGATGTGGAAGACAAATGCTGTGATAATTTTTTAAAAAATGTTTGTTTTAGAGAAACAACAAAAAGAAAAAAACAAAGGGGGGGAAGCAGAGAGAGAGAAAATGACAAAAGCAAACACACTTTTGTGAAAACCCACAAAAGGAGTAACTTAGGTGTGATTGGAATTTCAGAACAGGAAGGGAAAAAATAGCTGAAGATTATTCTAGAGGAGAATTAGAACCTATAAATTATGTCTTTCATCAGTTTTTGCAAGTTTTCTGTCATTTCTTCAAATATTTTCTTTACCCCATCCTCTGTCTCTTCTATTTATGAGACACAAAGTATTTGTTTCCTTTTGTCTTTCTTCTTCAAAATACTGTAT